AGGAGGAGGAGGAGGAGGAGGAGGAGGAGGGCGGGCGGCGCCGGACCCCCATGGTGAGTGACCCGCGCCAGGCTCCGTCTCCGCTCTGCTCCGGCCTCCTCCTCCCGGCCCAGCCCAGCCCTGCCCTGCCCTGCCGTGCCTGCGCTTCCGCCCGTCCGTCCGCCCTTCCCTTCCCTTCCGCCGCCCGTGGCGCTCTCGCGGCCGGCTCAGCAGCGCCCCCCGCCGGAGAGCCAGTGGCCCGGCCCGGCCAGCCCGCCCCCGACACACACACCCACACACACACCCCCGACACCCGGGCAGTGACTAGGCCCGCGGCCTCCAGGCCCCGTCGCCATGGAGACGCCGCCCGGCCGGTGCAGGGGGGGGGGGGGGGATTAACCAGGACCAGGCGGGTGAGGGGGGGGGGGAGAGATTAACCAGGACCAAAGGGGGGCGCCCACAAAGTAGGGGGAAAGGAAAGGAAAAACAGGAACGAAGATGTGTGTGCGTGTGTGCGCGCGCATATATATATATATATATACAGAGAGAGGGAGGGAGGGAGGGGGCTCCCAGGGCAAAGCAATCCATGCAGGATGATCGCCCAATCCCTCGCTCACCACTTTTAATGCCAGGAGCTCGCAAAGTAGAGTTTTTGCTCACAGGACTCCGCAGCTTAGACTGGGAACACTGGTCACGACAGTCATTTCAATGACCCCCTCTCTGCCCCCTTTTTAATGTCAGCCCCATGTAAAGGTCAACAATGAAGCTTGTTCAGCTGTTGCTGTTGTTGTTCAGTCGCACAGTCGAGTCCGACTCTTCGCGACCCCATGGACCAGCTCCCGCCAGGCCCTCCTGTCTTCCACCATCCTCTGAGGTTGGCTCAATTTCATGTTCGTCGCATCTATGACACTGTCCAACCATCTCATCCTTGGCCGTCCCCGTCTTCTTCTTTGACCTTCAGTCTTTCCCAGCTGAGTGGTGCGCAAAAGGGGGGGGGGGCACCAAGACTGGCACCACCAGTGAGCCTTAATCCGCCCCCTGCCCCGGTGCTGCTGCTGCTGCTGATGCTGCAGGGGAGAGCCCCCGGCCCGCCTCGCCCCTCTCACCACTGCACAAGGCCAGGCTTGGCTCTGCCTCAGGCCGGCCAAGGAGGGAGAAGAGGGTGGCTGGTCGACCAGCTGCGCCTGGGGGGGGGCACTTCTCTTCCCCCCCAGCCGAGAGGCAGCAAAAAACCCCATGAGGAGGGTCGCCAAGGTCCAGGTGGGGCCAGGAGCTCGCAGAGTAGAGTTTTTGCTCACAGGACTCCGCAGCTGAGAGGGAGCATGGCTCACAAGGTGTCCGTTGTGGGGAGGGGAAGGGAGAGGAGTTTGTAAGCCGCTCTGAGACTCCTGCGGGTACAAATCCAACCTCTTCTTCTTCTTCCTCCTCAGGATCCCCCCCGCCCCCGAAATCCCCAAGAATTCACCAACCCCAGAGTTGGTGACCCCACTTACAATGGGGGAGGGGGAGCCACTGGAGCACTCCGACTGCTCCCTCCCCCCCAATAAATTGCAGGAAAGGTCAGCAGACTGCCCAACTCTCAGGGGCAGAGAGAACCCGACCCAGGCAAGTCTTTAAGCCAGCAGAGACTCCATTTCTTTGCGGTGCTCTTCTTTCGCCACCATTGCTGCCTTTCCCCACATGGCCCTTCCTTTGTGCTGGGTGCTCAGAATGAATGTGTGAATCGGGATGGCCCCGGCCCTCCCGGAAATCTGCCTCAGCACACCCCACCCGCCTTGGCCGGCTGTCCAGGCTGGAGCAGGGCCCTCCTCGTGCCTGCAGGGGTGGCAACGCGTGGCCAGCTCTTTCTCCCGCGCCACAAAAGAGCCTCTCTTTGTCCGCCTCCCACGCTCTCAGGCCTGGGGTACTCCGTCGGGCCCGCAAGGGGAACAGAAGAGCTAAAGGGATGGCGCACCACCCATAAAGCCCGTGGCGGCCCAGGCCTGCTGCACAATCCAATCCTCGTGGTGTGTGGCCTCATCTGACCAGCAGGGGCTCCCCAGGACCTCAGCCAGAGGGAGCTCTTTCCCCCACCGTCCCTGAGTTAGCCCTTTAATTAGAGATGTCAGAAACCAAACCCGGGACTGTCTTGCTCTGCCCGTGCCTTCCGGCCGGAACAGAGCAGCTCCTGTACTGGTGCTGCCCGTCCCCGACCCCCAACAGGCCAGGCGGCCCTCTGCGGAACGAGTGGCGGTCTTCAAAGAGCCTCCCAGAGGGTTCCCACCAGCAGCGCATTACACGGTGACCCCTTAGCAAGGGCTCCCTCTTCCTGCAGGCAGCGCAACTGGTCAGAGGTGCTCCTTGGCCACGGTAGCCGCTGCACACCTGCTCCTGGCAGAGGTCCTTCCTTTGAGTCACCGCCGAGTGGTCTGTGCAGTTCATCAAATAAAGCTTTGGCGGAGTTTTAAAACCTTCCAGTTATTGGGGGAAAGTTAATTTGCGGAACACATCTCCCCCAAGTTCCTTCCAAACAAAGTGCCTCTTGTGTGCGCAAAGGAAGGGGGGCCACAGATAAGCAGTGGCAAGGCCACATGCCTCCCAGCTGCACATCCGTGCCCCAAAGGCTGCCTTCCCTCCCTCCCTCCCTCCCTCCCTCCCTCCCTAGTGGGGAGCCGCGGCGCGGAAAGGGAAGAGTCGAGGACTAGGCCTGGCCGGACCCCGGGTGAGGAGCGTCGCCTTTTGCTTTCTCTGGGCGCGGGGCGGCCGGCTCTCCCTCCCTCCCTCCCTCCCTCCCTCCCTCGGCTTGTTTTAAAATCCCAGAAGCAGAACTCTTTCCTCTGCTGTGGCTCAGACAGCACCCATCGTTGCTATGAAATTTCCACTGCACGTCTTAAGCCCTGGGAAAACGCCACACTGGCCCAAGGAGAGACTCGGGCGGTGTCTGGTCTGCAGAACCTGGGGCCCAGCTGTCACAGATAACCACCGACTGGCCTTGTCAGTGAAAAGCCACGCAAGGTCAAAGGTGAGTGGGGAAAGGGGCAGTCAGGGCACACCAGCCCATGAGGATGAACACACACACACACACGGCTGCAGTCCTGTGCTTGGGCAAGCGGGACTGACACCAGGCAAACACCGAGGGGGACGGAGGGTAGCCCGGTGCGGTGGTCCCCAACTCTTTGAGCATGGCCCACAAGTCCAAACTGACTTGGTATGCAGACCCACTTTAAAAAAGAGCATGCATAAATCCCTTACAGCTGCAGAAGCCTGAGCCCCACCTTCACAGGCACCACCACAACCCACTTTTCAGTTGGGACCAGTGTTCCCTCTAAGCTGAGTTAGTGTGAGCTAGCTGGCAGTTTTCTAGCCTCCGGCTCACACATTTTTGTCTCCGCTCAGGGAGGATGTGGCTCCAGAGCAAACTAATTTATGCAGGAGCCAAATCGCTCGCTCGCAACCTTAATGCCAGTAGCTCACAAAGTAGAATTTTTGCTCACAAGACCCCACAGCTTAGAGGGAGCATTGGTGGGGACCTACTACCCTAATGGACAACCAACCTATTCCTAGGGGCTGACTTTGCTGTCAGAATGCCAGAATAAGCACACCCACAGACCTGACAGCAAGCCACTGCTTATCTGTAAGGCTGTATACTACGCTGTAGTATAGATCCCACCTACAAGCCCTGGCTTTGTAAAG